CCTAGCTCTTGGGCCAGATCCGCGGACAAGATAGTGTTCGGCGCGCAAGCGTCAATAAGCGCGCGGACCAGATGTAGGCGCCCTCTCGCCTCCACCTTTACAACAGCCGTCGGCGCCACGGATATAGTGGGCTGGAGTGATGGCGTTATTATGGTATTTCGAAAAGCGTGCGGTCGTGATAGCTGGCGAGGCCTAGTCACCAGTCTATCTTCGTGTTGAAATGTTGTGGATTGGCGCAGACGGAAAGGCCGAGTTCCCGCTCTGCGGCTTTGTCGCCCTTGGTGGCGTGCTCGGTGAACCCGTGTTTCGGATCCAGCCGTACTTCTGCGTTCATGCCGCAGCAGAGGCCGGAAAGACCGTGTTTCCGGTCCCCCGTTCGTAAGCGGGCGGAGAGGCCGAGTCCCCGCTCCGCGCTCAATAACTTCCCCTTCTTCGATCTCTGGACCGGGAGGCCTAGTCTCGGTTCCCGAGTCGGACGCGTATAGTGACAGAGTGCCGTCTGCCTCGGCTTCTTCCACTTGCACACTCCATGGTTTGGGGACTGGTTCCGCTGAGTCGCCTTCATTGCCTCGTGCCCTCCATGACTCACATTTTCGTTGGCGCGTTGGCCCATCCTCTAAATGCAGAGTGGAGTGGTGTTTCTCGCCACACCTACGGCATCTTCCTTCGCTTTGACACTCCTTCAGCTGGTGGGTCATGGCAAGGCAGTTTGCGCAATAGCGGCCCAGTAGAGCTTCGCGCAGTCTCTCCTCGGGCGATTTTGCCCGATAAATAGGGCAGAGCCTAATCGGGTGGTGTGCGTCGCATAGGCGGCACGGTAGCGGATAGCGGTGGGCGCGTTGTTCGGCTCGTTTCCTCATAGTGGCGATATGAGACATCGTTACGGCTGAAATAGGGTCAGATATCGTTGCAGTGGATATTATAACGTATATATGTATTGTTGGGTGGCGAGTGGTATGAAAGGCGCAACATTTTGATGAGTGCAAGCGCATAATTCGGTGGGTGTGAACTTGGCATTATATACATTATTTTTCTAATCAAAGAACCACCTAGTGTGAATGTAGCATAATGTTAACTCACGACCTACAAAATTTTGGATGATGGATTGCATGGATGCCATGCATTCTACTGTGCAGGGATGTATGGGCAACGTAGAATTTTACTTGCATTAAATTATACCGAAAAAAATGCTTGTGCGTATGAGTGTGGTAGCATTTATTTATTTTTATTATTTTTCATTTGTGCTTTCATCCGCATATTTTGTCAATAGCAGGTTTTAACATATGTGTGTGTGTACTTGAGCATGTACGTGAACCTGCTTATCGACATTTGGAGACTTGTGTATCTTGGTTTACATCGGCACTCAACAATCCCACTTCCCACCGGCATAAGCTTGCATATCATTGGGCGCCTTGCTGTTAAAAAACAAGGTGCCGCCTAAGAAATACTTTAGCAAGCATAGTATCTTAACATTTTTGTGGTACGTAGTGACTTTGGATTGGTTTCCCATGTAAAATAACCAATTAACATTTTGTGACTTTGCTTTGGTTTTACATTTAAAATAACCAATTAACATTTTGTGGTACCCAGTGACTTTGCATTGGTTTTACATTTAAAATCCCCAATTGTATGACAACAGCAATTAAATTTATTGTCTACGAACGGTCACCATGCAAAACTAGCAGCAGCTAGTTAGGGTTAGTGTTAATTGTCCGTAAAGAAACATAGCTATTCTCCAATATGAATGGAGAACGGCGCTAGGTTTATTCCTGATGTGGAACGTAATCACATACATACATACATACAATGCATAAATGTCATTGTCTAAAATTTACTACCACGCGGCCATTACGTAAGTTTGCTGAAACGGTTGGGTGAGTATGCATGCGAAATTGCATGCTTTTGTTCTTATTAATCTTTTTCGATTTTTAGAGATTAGAAGTGCAGCATTCAACATACTTGTGGAAGTGAAAACTTATTGGAAAGATAACTTGTTACGCATTTTGGCTATTTGAAAGGAAAGGCCACGGCGCATTGAACTGGAGTCAGCTTTCTATCGAGTAACAGAGTATTAACGCGATCATTATCAGCACTATCAAAGAGAATAGCACCTGTTGCAGCGTTCAAATCAATAACTGAACGTCTAACAGCCGGCATATTTTGGTCACCTTTATCATTGGACAAAAGCTGAAACGCAGTCTGATTCAAGCCAGCTCCAGCCAAGGCTACAAAGGTAATACTTTCGACATCGAACGTGAAATATGGTAATTTTGTTTTAATGGTTACGGATTGTGTGCCTGTAGGTAGCGTGGTATTCGGTGTGTCCTCAAAATGATATGGTTCTAAGAAGTATTTACTAGGATCCGAACTAACTCGCATCCACCATATTTTACATTCACGTTGCGAATTGAAAAATTTACTAAATCCTTGAGCATGATGAACTAATAAATCCGTTATCAAACGTGTGCTGGCGAGCGCCAGAATATACCAAATTACTGTGGGGCTCATGAGCAGCACTTGATTTATCTACTGTAGCAGTTTGTATAGTTTTCAAAATAGCCGGATATTGCTTGGTATCTGAATTACTATAAAAGTATTTGATTTTTTCGTGAAACTGGTTTGAGTAAACAAAATTTAATCTATTCAGGGAACTAGTCATGAAATCATTATCATTGGTGTTTATAAAATTAGCTGCAACTTCCTTATCTAATGAATGTGTATTGCGCCAATGGTGCAAAATTTGTTCACTACATTTTACACCGTTTTCTAACAGTTCGGTATTACTTATACATCCAGTGTCTTTAATTAAAGCATTTAAATAACGAGAGTTTTGCAATTTCTTAACGATTTGCGAAAACGGGCTTCCAATTTATTTCTCATATATGCCTAAGCAATTTCCTATTTCATTTAGAAAAGTCCTTCAGTTACACTTAAAATTATGTCATACAAACTAAAAATAAGTCTATTAATTATAAAAAAAAACTTTTTTTAAAAAGTAAATAACGGTGTATGCATACCCGCATTGTTTCAATTGATATATGCACAAATTGATGCACAATCGAAGTAAAGCATACATATTACCAAAATTGCATGTGAAAAATTAATTACTTTTACGCTAAAGCATCAAGACGTTGAAAAATCAGTCGTTACAAGTTGTTGTAGCTTGAGCATGTGTGGATGGGTTGTAAGCGAGTCCTCTGCTACCACTATGGGTATTAGAATTCGCAGGTGACAATGGCAGACGATCAAGGTCATTAGTTTCCGTAGCGTTTGGACCGGTCGGTATAGGCTCAGTTGTAGTTCTGGTTTGTTGTGTGCGAACACTGAAAAATCGTAAAATTGTGGTTTCACTGTTGCGCCGACTAGATGTTGGTGTTTTTGGATGATGTGGGTTATGATGGCTAGACGTTGAAGGGGAATTATTTGCACGAGTATCTCGCGAGCCACTTGACATGCGTCGTCGTGGAGTCGATGTGACGCGCGGACTAGCCTCAGACTGTCGCAAATTATGGAGTCGTGACGACGATGAGGCTACTGGGGATACGGACACTGCACCATTGCAGTCTTCAATAATTTTGTCGGATAAGGACGCATTACGTGTCGACATTAATTTTTGTTTCCGTATTTTAGTTAACCAATCAACCTTTTCTTTGTACTTTCGTTTGGGTGACATAATACCCAGATGTGGAGCCTCACCGTCAAGTACGTAGTTCGGCAGATTTGATGTAGGTGAAAATATCATCGAAGACAAAGGTGGCTGTTGCGCAGTTGTGGTAGAAGCCGTCGTTGATGTGTTTGGTGGTGAAGAATAATTAATGTTATGGTTTTCAGTTACTGATCTTTCAGTAAGCGGTGTTGGTATGGCTGGGTGTGTGTGCTTCAATAAAACGTATGGTAGCGTGGATCCCACTGTATTTTCTTGGTTACTGTCATTGTTGTGTGCATGTGGTACTCGGCTTGTTATAGGACTCGGGGGAGATCCATTAGTCGCTTTAGTGATCGGGGTGTATTCTCCAGATCACGCAAGTTATACTTACGTGTTGACCCATGTGTCTTTTTTTCCGAATTCACGCTCATACTTAGCATACCCTCGACATAACTCCAAATATTCACCTTCGTTTATATTCTCCGGGCCAATGCGCCAAATTTTGTGAACTGCGTCATCGCTACATGTTACAATGGGCTGATCGTGTGTGGAACCCCATGCAACACAAGTTACCTCCACTGTGTGGCCGTACAATGCCACCAATGGTTCATCTGGATAGTTAAGGTTCCATATATAAGCTTTCTCGTCACTACTTCCACTTAGCAAGTACTTTCCGTCTGGACTAAGGCAGGATTTTATATAGAAAGTACTATTTAAGAGGCCTTTGAATCGTGCTATAGGTTTCGAGGAATATGAGCATAGGTTATAGGCGTACATTGTATTGTCCATGCAGTTAGCAAGGAGTCGTGAACCCGATTCATCGACTATAAGATTAGTGAAGCCTTTAAATGTACTTGTGCCAGCATAAGGTAGGCTATATCTAGGATGAGGTTCTTTTTTATATGCAGTATAATTTCGCCGTAAGTCCCATACTTTTATAATGCCATCACCTGCACCACATGAAATAAGAGTGTTGGTATCCTGAAAAGCCAATCCTGTAATGCTACTTGACGTGGCATTAGCCGTCATCTTAGGTGTGCGTGTACGCTTTTTTGTGACATTGGCGTCCCCGGTCCCCCGACATGTCCGCTATAAATGCAGTTATCTGCTCGTGGTGTTAAATCCACATTTAAGTTTGCACGGGTATCCCAAATTATAATCGCGCCATCTCGTCCACCTGTGGCAAGTACAGATGGGTCATGTCTTCGAAAGGCCGCAGTCTTTACGGAACGCGTATGCCCTTCAAAGGACCGTATGTTACGTATTTCGCCGCCTTCATCCACTTGCCATAAGCTAGCCGTGTGGTCACCAGAAGCAGATACGAATTTCATCTGCCCCGGCGCCCATTCCAAATCGAAAACGGCGTTGTAATGACACTGTGGTGCATTGAGTGCTCGCTCTTCGGGTTCTTCGTTTCTTTTTGTGGTATCTTGTAGCGCTATCTTCCCATCTTCATTAGCAATGGCTAAAATATGTCTGAAATTATCACAGTTTGCAAATTTCGCTGCAAATATCGGTGGTTCTGGATTATAGTCTGAACTATAATTAGAAGGCAATATTCCACGCCAGCTGTCTTCTTTGGCCACACAAAGACGTCGTAAAGCAAAATCATATGTGAAGTCATTTGCAATGCCCTGCTGGCGATTGAAAAGCATTTGAATCCTATTCATTTTTTCCCAACTAAAAGCTACGTATTTCTTTCCCGTAGCAAATAATCTTTATTAAATAAATGCCAAGTTAAAAATAATTATTAATCGCTACTCCACATCTGCGTATATTGACAAAATCTAGCTGCAGCAGCTGCTATTACATGAATGTTGCTATATACATATATATGTATGCACAGAGGTATGTATATATGCAACAGTATTTGAAATGAATGCCCTTGTAAACATGGCTCTAAAGTAAGTAAGCCAATAAGACTCACAGAACAGCATAAAATAAGACTCCGAGAGTAGGCATTTAAGAGGCCAATAAGAGTCATTTAAGAGCCTCAAAAAGAGTCCAAAATGAGCCGTATATGAGGCCGATAAAAGTCCAATATGACTCATATTGAGGCTCATCTGATGTATGAATTTAAGCTCATATAAGTCGACCTTCGCAGGAAGGAAAACACCCTCATTTCGGACTCTTAAATGAGCATTATGAGCGTAAAGGCTCCGAAATGGGACTCATTCAAGACTCATTTATGACTCCAAACGTTTGCTGGGATGCCACTGAATACACATATTTTAAAATATATGCATATGTATGTATAGATATTTTTTTTTTTTTTTCGGACTTTAGTCTTTGCTGGTAGGTTTTGACAATTGAGGCGAACTCATTTGGTCTAATGGGTTGACTGACGATTATCGAAACCTGTCAAGTAAAATGTATTCGCTTCCCATCAGACCTAGTTGTGTTGAAAAACGAGCAAGCATAATGAACAATTGTAACGACTTTCAACTTATTTCGCTTATTATTATATTTTTTGGAGGATTTTAATTGATAATTCGCACCTCGTTACCAATTTCGTATTTCTGAAACAATTGTTCATCAAGCTTGGTCTGTCTTATTTTTACCCGATTCATCACGCTGGGTCTGTCTTATTTTTACCCGATTCTATGCTTACAAGATCTAACGATGGTCGGTTCTTTATACCCAGATCTACCCGGAGAGGCCGGGCTAAGAACCATCACCAAAAATCTAACTAAAAACACGACTACCTTTAATATTGCTCTGGGTTAAACTTGATTATAGGCGTTGAATCCTTCCGAATGCATAGAAGTGGAATTTTTGTGCGATGAGGAAGTGGAATTCACGCGGGATTGGGGATCAACGGAGAGGGTTTATTTACGAAGTGCTTGCTGGCTCCTCGGTTTCTTGATTTTGGGATGGAAGTAGGACCAGTTTGGCCAGCGGTCTCGTAATCTGCCCTTTTTCCGTGATGATGTCAACTACGCGTACTCGATCGTCGGGACCAGGATGTAGGCTGATAATTCGACCTAATCTCCACTCATTTGACGGGAGGTTGTCTTCCTTGATGACAACGAGATCTCCTAATTTTATATTTTGCTGTGGATATTTCCACTTAATCCGCTTTTGCAGTTCGGATAAATATTCGGTTTTCCATCGTCTACAAAAAGTTTGGTGAAGGGCCTTTAGCTTCTGCCACCGATTTACTATCGAGGCAGGATTCTCGTGAACGTCGATTTCAGGTGGGGCTAGCAGGTGTCCACCAGTAAGAAAGTGACCTGGAGTGAGAGGCTCCAGGTCGGTAGGTTCATTCGAAGCGGGGCTCAATGGTCGTGAGTTGAGGCACGCCTCAATCCGACATAAAAGAGTACTGAACTCTTCGAAGGTATACTTATGAACGGATGCAATCTTTTTAAAGTGGCTTTTAAAGCTTTTTACCCCCGCCTCCCATAAGCCGCCCATATGAGGAGCAGCGGCGGGTATGAAATGCCATGTGAGCATTTGATAATTGTATTTCGAAACTGCTTTTTCACGCGAATCTGCTAAAAATGCTTTAAATTCAGATCGTAAAGATCGTGAAGCTCCGACGAAGTTTGTACCATTGTCGGAATATATGTTCTTCGGGCATCCTCTTCTGGCTACAAACCTGGCGAATGCAGCTAAAAATGATGGAGTGCTGAGGTCACTAGTTGCTTCCAAATGGATCGCTTTTGTCGTAAAACAGACAAAAAGGCAAACGTATCCTTTTGACATTCGACAACCTCGGCCGCTATAACTTTTGATGTCAAAGGGTCCTGAAAAATCTACACCTGTATTCGTAAACGCGCGCGAAAATGTGGTTCTCTCCTGAGGGAGAATTCCCATAAGCTGGGTTTGCGTACGTTTTTTGTATATCGTACAGACTTTGCAATTATGGATTGTGGATTTGATCAGATTTTTAACTCTGGGGATCCAATACTGAGTTCGGATAAGGCGAAGCATGAGTTGATTTTCCCCATGCAAAGAGACTTGGTGAATAAAGGACACTATTAGACGGGACAACCTGCAGTTATAAGGAATAATTATTGGATGCCGCTCGTTATACGCTAAGTCTTGAGACGCTCCAAGACGCCCACCAGCCCTAATAATGCCATCTTTATCTATGAACGGATTAAGCGGTAGGAGTTCACTCTTGGAGTCGATGGAGTTTCCTGCTTTAAGTTTCCTGTATTCTTCACTGTAATAGTTCTGTTGATATATTTTTATCAAGCGTTGTGTCGTTGCTTTAATTTCATGGGATGAAATTAAGCGTGACTTTTCTTGAAATGAAGCTTTCGTATTCCGATGCGTTCTTTGAGAGAATCTCATAACATATGATAATACTCTCAAAGCTCTCGGAAAATCTGAAAAACGGTCAAGAATATCTGTATAATTTACTTTGGTTGTATAAACGTGCGTTCTTTTTTCCTCAACTACTGTGCTGTAGTCTGTTTCCTGGGTGGGCCATTTTGGGTTACCTTCTTGTAACCAAGAAGGTCCCTGCCACCACAACGAATTGTTGACCAATTCATATGCTGGAAGTCCTCTGCTCGCTAAGTCTGCTGGATTTGATGCCGAATCCACATGCAGCCAATTCTTGTTTCCGACTTTCTCTACAATTTTTGTGATTCTATGGGCAACGAAAGTTGACCATGAACACGGAGGCTTGCGAATCCAAGCGAGAACAATTGTGGAATCGGTCCACAGATGTATGTTGATATGCCCTAAGTTGAGATTGTTGATTACTGAATCAACTATTTCCGCCAATAGTACCGCTCCGCAAAGTTCCAGTCGGGGTAGCGATATGGTTTTAACAGGAGCAACTCTGGTTTTTGCCAAAAGCAGGTTAATAAAAACTTTGCTATCTCTTTTGACACGCAAATACACAGAGGCGGCATATGCTTTCTCCGACGCGTCACAGAATCCGTGTATTTGTATTTCATCCGTTGGAGAAAAGTATACCCATCGCGGTATACGAACCTTATCAATTTCGTTATAATGTTGGGTAAAATTCTGCCATCGGTCTAGAGTGGTCGAAGACACAGTCTCATCCCAATCTGTGCCTTCCAGCCAAATATTTTGCATAAGGATTTTGGCTACAATTATGACAGGCGCAAGCCACCCCAGCGGATCGAAGAGTTTAGCAATGGCAGATAGTATCGCTCTTTTCGTAACAGCATCGCTTTTCTCCAATGGCCTTGCTATAAAATAGAAAAGATCCGTATGGGCATTCCATCTTATTCCAAGAGCCTTGACTGCGCTGGTATCTTCAAATGCCAAAAAATCTTCGCTAAGTAGATCTGTTTTTGGTATGCCATTAAGTATTTGCTCGCTATTGGCTGTCCACTTTCGAAGTGGAAAACCGGCTGATTGCAACACTTCCGATATCTCATCTCTGGCTTTTATTGCTGAATCGATAGTGTGTCCACCAGACAATACATCGTCGACATACATGCATTTTCGTAGTATGTTAGATGCTATTGGATGGGAGCTTTGCACATCGTCAGCTAATTGTAAAAGTGTCCTTATAGCCAGATAAGGAGCACAATTGATGCCGAACGTGACAGTCTTTAATTCGTACAGACTGATCGGGTCATTCGGGTTAGTGCGAAAAATAATCCTCTGATACTTAGTATGGTTGTTATGTACCAGAATTTGCCTATACATCTTTTCGATGTCACTGTTGAACACATATTTGTATAGTCTCCAACGGAGTATTAGTATCGGAAGATCTGCCTGAAGTACTGGTCCTGGGAAAAGTACGTCATTTAGGCTGTTGCCATTCGCCGTTGGGCTTGAGGCATTGAACACCACGCGTACTTTCGTTGAAGTACTTTCTGCCTTTATAACAGCGTGGTGCGGCAGAAAATAATTATCAGACGAGTCTGCGGGTATGGGATTTGTTATTTTCGACATATGCCCAAGCGTTTCATATTCCGCTAGAACCCTATTGTATTCCTTTTGCAGGACGGGATCCTTGGCCAGCCGTGTCTCATTCCGGTAAAATTGAGAACATGCTCTTTTAAGGGATGGGCCTAGGGAAATATTTCCTGGAAAATCTTTCCTAAATGGTAGTGACACGATGTATTTTCCTTCATTATTTCGTATGGTTGTCTTCTGATACAGCTCCTCGCAGTACTTGTCGTCTTCATTAAGGCTCTTGTTCTTTGGAATCTCCTCAAGCTCCCAAAAAGCACTCAGTTGCTTGTCCAGACTAACTTCGCTGTAGTATGAGACGATATTCGTTCCTGGATTCGAGGTATCAGTTCGCCCTGTTATTATCCAGCCAAATACTGTTTCTTGGGCCAGAAGTGTGTTTAATATGTTTTTCTTAAGCCCGCTCAGAATAATTTGTGGATATATGTCGCCACCCAGAACAAGGTCTACGGGTTCATTGACGAAAAATCGTTTATCCGCTAGAATTAGATCTGGAAATGCTTGCTTAGTCACTGCACTAATGTGGCAAGTAGGAAGATTTCCAGTCAGTTGTGCTAGCACAAGCACAGAGGTATTTAAGCGGAACAACGGGTCAACAGGAGACCGCAATTCGATGTTGCACGCTTCTTTAACCTGCGCCGTAGTTGTATTAGTGATGCCCGAAACTTGGGCATGCATACGCTTTGACGGC